TCACCATCTCTGTAGTTATCTGGGAAATTGTTTCTATTTTGAGTTTTTCTACAGCCTCATTCATCTGTTTTGTTACTTCCTGTGCTATCAGTTCAGGGTGTCCAGGTCATTGATTATCATATTTTTCCACCTCATTTTCCCCAGGATTAGTCGTTTGTGGGGTGGAAGCCTGAGTTTGTGTCTTGCTTAAGTGTCTTCTCTTTTTTTTTTTTTTTTTGGTACTGTCCTTGGTTTAATTCCTGTGTTGATACTTCAGAATTGCTTATTGTAAGTATCTTTGTTGCTTGTGTTTAGAACCCTTGTGGAATGATTGCTTTTCAGAGGTGTCTCCAGATATAGCTGGTCTTTAGGTTTTGAGTCTCTAATGACTCTGAGACTATCTCATTTTCATTATATGAGGAAGGCACTCACAACATCTTAGCCCAAATAATACAGTCAGCAACACCATAGCATCAAGCACAGCTTAGAAAAATGACAATTTGTGGTAGTTATTAATCTATCACCTTTAACTGTGTGAATTAAATCAAAATCGAGGACCAACCCAACATGTGTTTATAGTGAATAAACTCTTCAATATAGCAACTTTACCCTTCAGGATGTGGAGTTAGAAGGAGTTGGGGAGGGAGGGACAAATAGGTAGAAGGATCAGGAAAGGGTAGCAGTGAGGCCAGAAGACACAGGAAGATCACGCAAACTCTAAGAAACTATTGAAGGCAAGAGGAAAAGGAAGAATGAAAGAACAAAGAAGTAGACAGAACTACCTAATAGGGTAGGCTAGATATTATACTTACTTTCCTTTAAAACTAATGATAATCGAGAGAAGGAAAAAGAGAAGAAAAGAAAAATAAAGGAAAAATCCAAATTAGGTCTAGAAAGGAACAAAAAGGGAGATGAAGAACAATGTGGGACAGTGAGAGAACGAGAGCAAGACAGAGAGAAAGAGAAAAAGAAAAGAGATAAAGAAAAATTTGAAAAGAGTAGAAAAAATTAAGAATTAAAAATAAGAGAAAAAAATTTTTTTGTAAATAACAAAAAAAATGAAGGGCCTCCTTCAGAGTGTGTCTCTGCTGTCACAATAGACAACATATGCAGCCATGTGCAGACCTGAGTCAATGAGTCTCTGCAAGCCATTAGCAGACCTATGAGATTCAGGCAGATTTCTGGCTCCAAGTCCCAAGTTGAGCTCCCTGTCCTCCTGCAGGGTTGAACTTTGCAAGGTTCTACTGCAGGTTCCAGCTGCCCTTACCTTGAAGATAGTCCAGGTTCCGATGGGAGGTGATGATCCCTCCAACTTGCCAAGTTTGGTGATCTGGTGTGGCTTTATTGCAGAGATTCTCTTCACTTTTCCAGTGGGCTTCGGTTTTCATCGAGGAGCCTGAGAGAGGCCCTCTTTCTGTTGCACACTTCTGCTCTATCTTGTGGAGCACAGGACAATGGTCTTTGTGACCCCCTGTGCCTCTGTAGTGTGCAACTAGGTAGCGGCAGAGCTAGGAGGCTGGGACAGGGGACAGGGCCCTGCAGGTGCCCACGTGGCTAAGCTGGTGGCATTGTGTGGAGAGCAGGGACAGAGCAGGGCTCCAAGCCGCTCCAGGGTCCTCACCCTGCACCTTCTGGTCACAGTGGGTGGAGCCCGGGACGGAGCGGCTTCATGCTGCATGGGTCCTCACCTTGAGCTGGCTAGTCGCGTTGTCCAGCCCTTATTCTTTAGGGATACAGAAGGACTGAAGGACCATATTCTTATAGCTACCTCAGGCTGAGGAGAGACATTGATCCTGCCCAGCCAGGGATTGAAAGCCTCATCCTGACTGATGTAAAGAAGCCATAGGAATATAGGGTTCTTGCTGTTTGAAGAACTATTATGTTTTGATATTTCCTTTTATTTATCATGGTAAGTATTAGGAGTCTGTTACATTCTGTCTGTTCTGTAGGTGATGGCCTATCCTTTTAACATACTGTTAATGTTGTCTGTTAGAAGTCATACTGTTTTTTTTGGTACCAGAGATCAAACTCAGGACCCTGTCCTGAGTCAGGCAGCAGCACCACTGAGCCAAACCCCCGGCCCTAGAAGTCATATTTTAGTTATAGTGCTGATGCCTCTTTACCTCCTGGAGATAGCTTGCCAAAGGGAATGTCACCATACAGAGTCTAAAGAGGTTCCTCAAAGTGGAAATGGAGAACAAGGACTAACCTCCCCCTTGGGACAGGTTATAGGTTCACTGACTTCTGACACAGAAAAATAATTTTCAAAACATGTCAGTGAGAGGGATAAAGAAGTTTATTAGGGAGAATTGAAAATACACAGGGGCTGGGGATTTAGCTCAGTGGTGCCGTGTTTGCCTTGCAAGCACAAGGTCCTGAGTTCGATTCCCAGTACCAAATATATATATATATATATATATATATATATCCATATATATATCCATATATATATCATATATATATCCATATATATATCATATATATCCATATATATATCCATATATATATATCCATATATATATATATTGTGGGCCCTGAAGAGAGGCACCCCACTAATTTATATCTTTATTGCATCTCTGACCTAGATAATTACAATTAGTTCCTAACTTCTAGTCTCACCTTCAGGCTTTCTAGTTTGGTCTTTTTTTGTTTGCTTATTTGTTTCGTTTGTTGAGTCACGGTCTTGCTGTGTAGTTCGGGCTGGCCTTCAACTCACTATGTAGCCCAGGCGGGCTTTGAACTTGTGGTGATCCTCCTGCCTCAGCCTCCCAAGTGCTGGACTATAGGCAAGTGCCACCAAACCTGTTTTAGGTCAGGTACAGTCATGATCATATTACTTACCTCAAAAATTTTTGGTAGCTCCCATTGCCTATAGAGATTTCTGTGTTTGACGTTAAAAAACTCTGCTGAATGACTCTAACCTCTTTGAATAGTACATTCTTTTTGCATGTTCTGCCTTCTAGTCAAAATAGACAATTTTCCCTTCCCTGAACATATCCATGCTTTCCCCATCTGAGCCTTTATTCACCAGTTTCACCTTGTTAAAAGTCAGTACCCTTACAAAATTTGCCTTAGATATCATACTTTGGCTTCAGTCTCTTTCTCAAAACAAGAATAGTTACTTTTCCGTGTTTTGTGTTACAATCCTTTGGGTAATTGTCTTAACCTCACTCCCTAACCCCATTGTCTGTTCCTCAAAGACAAGAAGTCTGAGTCTCACTCATTTTTATATCTCCTGCAGCACCAAACATAGGATATAATAAGCTTTCAGATCTTTGTTTGTATAATAAAATGGAACTAAATTGGATTCTATAGCAAATAATAAGAGGCCACAAAAATAACTCCAAGTAAAAGAGAAGGTTTTTCTAATACCATTGAACTAGGAATTATCTGTGTAGTAATATCAGCCTGTTTCCATTTGTGGCATATATGCACAATGTGGTACCAGTAGTGATATTACAATTCTGCAGGGCCAGGGATTTAGCTCAGTGGTTCCAGCGCCTGCCTTGCAAGCACAAGGTCCCGAGTTTGATACCCGGTACCAAAAAAAAAAAAAGAACAAGTGGCCATTCAGAAAAATTATTATTAGGGCCGGGGATTTAGCTTAGTGGTTCTGGCTCCTGCCTCACAAGTGCAATGTCCCGAGTTCAATCCCTGGTACCAAAAAAAAAAAACAATTCTGCAGCAGATGATCCTTAGTTACAGTTAGTTTAGATGACATCTTAGGAACCACGCCTGAAGTTCTAAAGTCTGAGATAGGGCCCCTCATTTGTGCCCCTTAACTCACTGGCACTGCCCTTTCCATGTGTTGTAATTATGTGTATGTGTCCATCTTACTAAGCCTCGTGGGGCCTGGAACCATGTTTTATTAATCATTGTGTTCTCGGCAACTAGAAGAGTCTCTAACACATAGTCAGTGGTAAATACTATATTAAAAGCATGAGTGAGGCACAGAATCCCCCCAGACTTTAATGACTTCCCTGACAACAGAAAAATTTTATAAAGCATCTTCTTTCCCTTGTAACTATTATTCATTTCTGTTCTCTTCCATATAATTACTAAGAATCAAAAATTTCTACCTCAATTTGCAGCCGTTATCACTGACATAATACTAGTCGTCTAAAGCAGAGGAGTCAAAGATCACCATATTTGGCCACTGTATCATTATCTTATTCTTCTAGAATTCCATGATTTAATTTTCTGCTTTTGAAAAGATGAACCAGGCATGGTGACACACGCTCAGCACTCAGGAGGCTAAGGCAAGAGGATTGCCACAAGTTCAAGGCCAGCCTGGGCTGCATAGTGGGTTCAAGGCCAGCCTGAAGAACTACACAGCAAGACCTTGTTTTTTTTAAAAAAAGAGAGGTGAAAAGGACCATTGTTTCCATGAAGTACAAGTTACAAAAAAATGTATTTTGTTTGACCCACATAGTGTTTAAAAAATACGTTAGATATAAATGTATCAAGAGATTTCATGAATTGTTTTTTCCTGACTGTTTTTGAGCAAATAGAGGTTCTAATGATGTTGGACCCACATCACAGGGTACTTACTGGCTCTATCTTCAAACAGGAAGTGTTCATCCCACTTTGCTCTAAAACTTACCTTATTTGGTTCATATCTAACTTTCCAGTTCTTTTTAAAAACTATGTGGTTAATCACTATTTCTATAATTACTTACAGACAATCAAATATCAGTGGGAGGAAGCAAGGTAATTGTTGCTTTTCACACTGAGTTGTTTGCACATACTTAGCAAATACTTGTTAAGTGACATTCTTCAAATATTCTAATTGGTTTTGTATTATCCCTGGCTTTTCAAACTAAAATAAAACTTACTGGGTAAAGATGAAGTGGCTATTTAAGACTTTCCCTGTAAATAATTAAAAACTGCCATTATTCCTGTTGCTGGTTTTTAGGTCTAAATAAACGAGATGAAAAGCAGTTACAAGAACTTGCATTAGAAGAAAGGCAAACCATTGATCAAAAAATCACCACTCTGTACAGTGAGGTACGTTTTAGAAGTAGACTAATCCCAGTAGTGCTAATATGAAGGAATATTCTTCCTGCTAGACTATACACTGGCTTAGAAGTGCTCTCTTATGATAAGTAATTAGTGCGGTTTGTGCAGTAATCTGCTACAGATTAAAGATCTGCTACAGGTTAAAGAGCTTGTAATACAAATGAATAAAACAGACTCCCAGAGCAAAAAAAATTTCAAAGCTGAATCTTTTACCTTGCCAGGCAAGGTAAAGAAAGAGCTTTAGTTAACATAGGGAAGAGTCTGGAATTTTTCAGTGGTAGGAGGGATGAGATAGGTTCATGGTGATTGTGTTAATTAAGGATTGAAAATTCTCACTTTGGATAGAATGGAATGAACCCAGGGGTGTAGAGACAGTTAACACAAGTTCTTAACTAGGTCTAGTAAGGCTTTGGCATACTGGGGTTTCTCAGTGTCCATGATACTGTTAGTACCAGCTGATATTTCCCAGGTAAGCAGAAATTTTTGCTTCAATAGTGGTCTCTTCCTTCTAGCTCAGTGGATGTTTTGTCTATGACAGTGAAGAACATAGTACCACGTACCATATGTCCTTCTGTTGTATTTGCCATCACCCTGCCTTCAAATTCTACACTGGGAATTCTGGAAGGGGGCTTTTTGAAGGGATAGAGGGGTGAAGTATAGGTATTCAGTATCACAGGTTAATCAAAGGCAAAAGTAAGATATCTGACTCTTAATCTAATATTCTCTTCCACAGACTGTATCATTTTTAACAGATGGAGTATTTCAGAAATTGGCAGTAGGGAGACTAATGACATATAAGTACCTTTAGTTTAATTTGAAAGACCTTTTAGTAATAAGGAAATGACTTCCCTTTTCTAAAAGGAAAATTGATTCCATTCTTTTATTAGGAATTCCTTTTATTGGCTGAGAACTATTTGAGCCTTTTCTTGGGAGTCCTCAACATGGTCTTTAAACACAGTAACCCCACTAAAAAAGGCAAGGCATAACATACCATCTCTCATCATCAGTAAGGAAAATACACAATTATATCTTTAAAGTTCATTTCTTTCAAATGAAAATTTTCAAAGCTTTGCTTCATTCATTAGATGAAAGAAGCTACTGTTCATAACTAATTATAAGTGGCAAAATCTGAAGAAAATTGAATAGAACACTGAACTTTGATCTAAACTGCATTTTAGAAAATTAAGATAAGCTCATAGCATTGTAGAAAATATCTAGACAAATAACTTCATTGTTAACATGAGTTGATCTATTTTAGTGTAATTATTTCTACTTCTTACAGTATTTTAGGACTAACCTCATTGATACACCCTGTAATTCTGTTCATTACTGATTTTTAAAAAAGGCTTTCAGGGCTTTTATTTAAGTTCAAGTAACAATAACATATCACGGAAAATCTACACACCATTGATTTAAGTTCAAGTAATGATAGTGTAAAACCTACACATGCCTTTTATTTAAGTTCAAGTAATGATAGTATACCAAAGAAAATCTATTTATCTAAGCTGTTTCTCTTTTTTCTCTTTCAGCTTTTTCAGAGTCTGTTGCCAAAGGAAAAATATGACAAAAATGATGTTATTTTAGAAGTGACATCTGGAAGAACTACTGGAGGTCGGTAATAAAATTTTATTGTAACTTATTTAAAAGTTACTCACATTTACCTTGATTTGACTTACTGTAATTTAAAGAATCCATTAAATGTGTTTTTCTTGGAAAATGGTCTTCATTTCCTAAGGGACTTGTATTCAAAGATGGCTTTCTTTGAAATTTGTGCTGACTGAATGTTTTATGTCTTTTAGGTGATATCTGCCAACAATTTACCCGAGAAATATTTGACATGTACCAGAATTATTCATGCTATAAGCACTGGAAATTTGAACTTCTAAATTATACGCCAGCAGATTATGGTAGGCATATTTGAAGATTTTTATACATAGAAGATGCTGAAATTATTTTATCTCAATCTATATTAGAACCATATTGTTCCATTTATTTGTTTGTTGGCTTTTTGAAACAAGGTCTTGCTTCAAGGCTGGCCTTGAACTCACTGTATAGCCTAGGCTGGCTTTAAACTCATGGCAATCCTCCTGCTTCAGCCTCCCAAGTGCTAGGATTACAGGAATTTGCCATTGAGCCTGGCTGCCCTATTCTCTCTCTCTTTTTTTTTTAAGTACCTGGGATCGAACTCAGGACCTTGCACCTATGAGGCAGGCAGCAGCAGCACTGAGCTAAATCCCCTGACCTTGGCTGCCCTATTAAAACCATTTGGTATTATATTTATTAAACACTGTGACAGGTTTATCAATCACAGTAGTTTCCTATAGCAGAGTTCTTACCTGAGGAGAGAGCAGGAAGGAGGGACACATCCTCCTAAGAAGGAATATCTGATATATTAAAGTCTTTTACTCTGAAAGAATTGTATCATTTATGTAGTGCAACCACAAAATTTATCAATTTAAGTAGCCAGTGATATATTAGATTTGTATGGTAATATAAAAAAGGTAATCATTTGTCTTTATGCTCAGAAATGTCCACTGAAATTAGACTAATAAAATTTATACAATATAAACATTAACAGTATAAGACCTTACACCTCTAAACCCACAAATGTGAGCTAGGCACAGTGGTGCACACCTATAATATCAGCACTTGGGAGGCTGAGACAGCAGGTTTGCGATTTTAAGTCCCACTTGGGCAACTTAACAAGACTGTGTCTCAAAATAAGAAATGAAAAGGGTTGGAGATGTATCTCAATGGTATGACATGCCTAGATTTAATCCCTCGTACCAAAAAAAGAAATACATACATACTCAAATATGATAGTTCAAAATCTCTGATAGCAGTTCTTACATTTTCTCCATTCATTTAATCCATCTCAAAGTTTTTGTCTGCTTGATTTCGCAGTAGTATACCACAATAAACAGAGGGGTTACAAATAGTAGAAGACCAGCTCAAAGTGGGGCAAGAGGATTACTATAAATTAAACAGTGGAAGGAAGTAAAAACCAGCATGCTGTATAAATTGTACTTGGTACAGAGTTTAAATATAGCCAGCATTCATGAAAGGAGAACATCACTAATAGGAGAAGGAAGGAACAACCTGAACAGTAGCATGGTAGTAGGAAGCATCTTCATGTGTGGGTGGCACATTGAAGAGGCCAGTTTACTGATGGCATATTTGCAGTGGGATATACTATTGTAGCTAGACTAGATTTGAGTGGGTGGACAACTTTTGAACAACTTTTTTTTTTCTTCAAGAGACAGGAGCTCATTATGACCTCGAACTCACAGGCTGGCCTCAAACTCATGACAATTCTCCTGACTCAGCCTTGCAATTGTTGGGATTTCAGGCATGTGCCACCACACCTGGCTGAGTAACTTTGAAAATTGAATAAACCTTGACTGATAGGGCATAAGGAGCTATTAAAGATTTTATCAGTATGATTATAATTTGATAAAATATACATTTTAAGAAGATTCTTTTGCCAACAGTATAAAAAATGGATCAAAGAGGCTAGGTTTAAGGCAGCCTGCAAAGAGGTCTCTAAAGTAATCCAGAAATGTCCACATGTGAGAGACTTTAAAAAGATACATGGGCAAACTTTGGTAACTGACTGGGTATAAGAGGGGCTATTACTTGTCCAATATATTCTATTTAGAGAACCTCTTGATCCTGTGGTCCTCACAATCCTGTGAGCTAGATATTATTAATCTCATTTTACAGATCTAGGCTCAGAGAATAACTAATCCAGGATCACACACAATAAGTAACAGCAGCCCTCTTATCACAATTAAGTCTGTCCAGAGCTACACTGCATCCCATTATCTGTTCTGACACAGGAGATGAGGCACAGGGGTTCTAATCTTTTTATCTCGGGAAATTGTGATACTTATCCATGTCACTGAGTGGAACAGATGTTTGGAAGCAGAGCCCATTTGGAAAAAATTATCATGAGGGTTTTTTGGCTTTTGTTATTGTTATTGTTGTTAGTGCTGGGGATCAAACTCAAGGCCTTGCACATGCTAGGCGAGCATTCTTCCACTGAGCTACATTCCCAGTTCCAGATGAGTATTTTTTAAATTAAGTTTGAGGTTATATCAAGTAGCATTAAGAAATAGCCAGTAAATACTGAAGTTGTATAACTTTGCGGGGGAACAGGGACCGGGGATCAAACTCGGGACCTTGCACTTTCGAGGCAGGCAGCGGAACCACTGAGCTAAATCCCCGACCCCTGTATAACCTTTTTGAGAGAACAGAATTTAGGAGAGATGTTTGATGGATATTAGCACAGAGTTGATATCTGATTCTTAGAGAATACATAAGGGGGAATCTGTAAAGAGGGAAATTCAGGCACCAGGCCTTGGAAAATGGCCATATTTAGAAAGAGAATAGTTGGCAGAAGAAAGAGAATGCATACATGTAGGAAAAGGATAAGAACAGGATACTATTATGGAAGCAAAAGAGGAGAAAGTTTCAAAGAAAATTTAATCAGAAATGGCAGTATTCTAAAGAGAGAGACTAAGGACATAGAAAGAATTAAGATGTGTTATATACATATATCAACTCCTCACAATCCATATAATCATTATGTACTGCAAACATGTATTAATAAAAGTAAATACTAAAAGGAAAAGATACAGAACAAAAATAAAACCATCATAAATCTTAAAAGAAATAAAGAATACTGGGAAGTGCCATCAATGATGTCTGAGATACATATTTTGAATAGAACTGTCAGGAATAAAGGGATATGAACTTAATAACAGGAAGAAAGATTCTGTTCCAGAATCTGTTTAGAGCAGCCTAAACAATGGTTGGAAAACACTGGCTCACTGGCGAAGTAAAATAAAGATATTTTTAAACATCCTTTTAAAAAAATCACTTAAAGTATTTCCCTCAAATACCTTTAAAATTAGAATAAACAATTAATAGTTAGAATAGAATAAACTTCTATTCATTGAGATTATAAAATAATTTTTTTTAAATTGACATTATTGGGCTGGGGATTTAGCTCAGTGGTTTCACTGCCTGCTGCGCAAGCGCAAGGACCCGAGTTCAATCCCTGGTACCAAAAAAAAAAATTGACATTATTATAACTAGTTAGAAAAAGATATAGGTAGGGAAAGATTAAAATAGAGAAAAGGAACAAAAGAATCTACCTTATTCAGCATGTAGTTTTTTGGGGGGGGG